AATAAAATTGAAATGATGTATATCAAGAATATTGCAATTGCCCTTCATTATTGCTAGTCCTCCTCTAGATGCTAACCTTTGAAATATGGTCTTTATTTAATTGCTAAACAAAAAATTGCCTAATATCAATAATTCAGTTAATCATTCATTAGCGATATAGATATACAACTACAATACGAAACGAAAGCAAAACTTTACAGCTGGAGATTATTACGATATTTTTTAGTTTTAGACTGAACAGTTTTTTGGAAATAGTTCTAGGTATCGCCCTAGACAAATTTCTTTGCCTGTTTATTAATCTATAAAAGAGCAAATTGTAATTATCAATAAATTATTTTGACATTTACCTTCGCGTATTTGGTAGAGAATTTAGCGTATCGGTAGGACCCAAACATAGATTGATATCGGTCACATCGATGCGAGATAGGTGTAGATTATATTGCCAATGTCTAAACTACTTCTGTTATGATGTTCAGGCTAAATCTTAAAAATGCGTAGAGAACAAATTAATAATCTATCAAGATTGTGATCGTACGTAAATTTAATTTGTAATTGTTTCAGTTGTTTATCAAAGAACCTTTTTGTTACAGATTACCCCTGGGCAGAATATCTACCTAATTGCATATACGGTATCCAGTTTTGATATTTTAGATAAATTTAGTAGACAGATCCATAAATTACATACGCTATATGCAAATTTAATTTCTGTACATCGCTATGGGCCTTTCATGAGCGTAAACTAAATTTTAATCTTTATTTTTACCATTTTAAGATTGGAGATTCATTTTAGAGATGATGAATCAGAAATAATACTATTAGGATGCCATTTACATGAATTGTAAAGGCAGAATCCACTTATAAAGTTATTCACATAACATTTCTATATTTTTTAATTAAATATTCTCTTACAAAAGAGATAGCCAATGCCACTTCTCGAATGAGACAATAAATAGGAAGTAACTTTTTCCATTAAATTGAATAATATAAAAGTGCATCTTTTAAGTTTTGCATAAATTAGATGGTATTGTAACATGTAAGATCCACTACAATTGTTAGCTAGCTCTAATAATTAAATTTAAAATTTATAATATGAGAGTTCTATTGAAAGTGAAATCTTTTTAACCATTATCGCAGCCTAATTGAATATCTTTTAGAGATTGCTATCCCAGAATCTTAATTTGTATTGAGTACATAGCGAAATAATTTGAGAATATATACGTATACAACTAGAGATAGTTAAAAAATTAAAATTAAATCGTGAATATTACTTTTTCGTCTATACTGCATACAGCAATTTACATCATCGACTATCTATTTCTTGACGAAAGATTCTGTAATATATTGGAACGATGATGTTCCGATGTGACAAAAATAATTTAAAATTGTTAATATGGCTGGATATGGCAGTGAGCATTAATTTGAAAATAGTGAAAATAACAGTAAATCATCTATTAATTTCCAGTACGATACTGTAAACATATCTAGTTTAAAAATTAATGAGCCTGCATTGAAATTAAAACATTAAAAAGTCTCAATCGTCTATTTTCATGGCATTTTCGTGATGTTGCCGTGCCAGTACTGGATACAATCTAAACCTTCTTTGTATACACATTGTATTCATGGAAATTACTATTGCTATAAATGAACTAGCAAATAGACATAGCTTACTAGTAGAAATAAATCAGGAAATATGTCAATAAAAACAAACAGTCACAGAGAGAATAATTGTGATAATCTAATTAAGTGTCAATTTGCAGTTAATTACCGAGGCTTACCATCCAATTACGTTCCTTTGATATATCACTGGTTTAATTATAAACAGATGCCAATTTGATTAAATTCATTAAAATCATTGATCTCGATTTTATCATTTCTATGACTTCTTCCGATGGCCTGCTTACAATTATTAAACTTATCGTAGGTACAGCATGATAAGCCAGCTATTTCAAATGTCCTTGGTGTACTGAACTTATAATTACTTTAACAATTGCAACGAGCATAGTATCAATTTTCATTGAAAGTAAGGAAACTATATTTATTTAGCCATATTAACTTGTCAGACGTCAATCTTCGTAAGGTATAGCAATAATTTCATCGTTCAACCCTAACACCAACGCGTATTTATAACAAATATCTGTATATGAAATTAAAAAGCTACTGTCTATAATCTTGATATTCATTATCGCAATCATACTGAACAGATTGATATATTTTTTGATCAGATATTTTGCACAACCGTTGAATATCTGATAATTATAAAATTATAAGAATTAATCAAATTAGATCTATTCAATATCTGGTATCTAGATATATTCATAGCTTGGTTGATTTTCAATGCTAGATAAATTGCGTCGTAGATGATAGCTTATAGATTATAATGAAGGCAAGAATTATACTAAATAGACTTATAAATATAGAAATATAGCAAATTAATTTCATATCTTATAGAAAGACATCTCTCGTTCATGTAATAAGTCATATTATCATATTATTAGTGTACCGGAATCAACCAGCCTTACCTTATTGCATAATGTCTGCGCAGATTAAATATTTCGTCATAACTTAAAAATACCTCGGCTTTGCTTGTTAGTAGACACTATTTGGATTACAATGCTCGTAACAATCCTGTAGATGAAACCTTGAGTTAGATATGAATGAATCTGATAGATTCTGTAACCTAGATAAGAGAATAGACTTCGTCAAGTCTATATGTATATTTAATGATATTCAGAGTCAAAAAGATCACTGTATAGCTGTTAAGAACTGATGTGACTTACAACACAGTAATGCATATTCCTGATTTTGATTTTATATCTGAAATTCTTC